CTGCCTATCAGCATAGTAAGATGCTGAAGTCATTACATGTCTTCTCCCGCTGGACTGCCTTCCCCGTGACCTACCTACACTGTGATCGTGAGTCATACTGCCCCTTAATCCCCTTCCCCCTCCCTCCCTCCTCCCCCTCCCCACCCCTCCCTCAATGGATTTAATTGGTCTTCTCTGACCCCTCTCAAGCTGAAGGACCGAACTGTGTGTCTTTGGACTGAAAGTTCAGACGGGAGGAGTCCATACTTCACACTGGAGGGTCACAAGTTCCTGATCTTCTGGGGCTCCACACGCTTTTTCCGGGTGCCCAGGGCGTACTGGAGGGACTAATGGCTGAAGCTGAGGGCCTTGCGGCTTCAACACTGCCACCATGTGAGTGCAGCCCCAGCCTCTTCTCGGGGCTCAGGGCCTCTGGTTTACGGAGCCCTACCTGAGGATTGCCTTCCAAATAGGCATTTCCGGCAATAGCCTTTTGTGCCTAAGTGTCACTTACATCTCATGCTTGGATTGCTGTGGTCGAAGCCTTGGATAGGGGTTAACAGGAGAAAGAAAGAAGTGATTTCCTCCGTAATCTCCCTAATGGGAGAGTCTGGGGCTTCTGGGAGCACTCAGTCTAATGACATTCGAGAAAGGATATTCACGATAAACACATTGTATTGTAAAAGCAATTCTTATTAATTGTTTAATACAGATGAAAATGTAGTGGAATTGTAGTATAAAAATGAACATGTAAAGAAATACAGCATCAGTAAATGAAGTTTAATTGCATAAAGGAAATGAATATTGTAATTTAACAGTTGGGAGTGTAGGGGTTTAAAGTCAGTTCCAGCTCTACCTCTAATCACCACTTACTGGGGGCCTGGGGGCCTCTTCAGTACATGGGCAGAATAACAGTTGCCTCATAAGGCTGTACTGATGATTAAATAAGATAAAACCGTTATCTTACTTATGTGAAAAATGCCTATCTCTATGGCTGGCACATATATATATATGTACTTAATTATGAAAAGAAATACAGACCCAGTTGTCAAACAGAAGAATTTAAATATAAATTTAACATAAGTTTAGCATGATACATGTATGACTGAGCATGATTACATGTATGGTGATAAAAGGTAACATGTCTTTAGGGTGGTATACTGATGGCTCGGCATTTTCTAAGCATTGTTGAGAAATCTCTTAATCCTCACAACTGTCCCAGGAGATGGATAGTGTAATTCCCACTGTGAGAGAGAAGAAGAGAAAGCACAGGGGGCTTAACCAGCTTGCTCACCATGAGTGTCCCCACCCAGCATCTTTTCAAGGCACAGCCACGCAGTTGTGAATGAGGATGCCACAGCGTCACCCACAGCAAAGGTTCCTGCCTGTCCACAAATGAGCCTTCAAATAAGAACCATGCCAAGACAAAAATCATATTTGAGTTAGGAACAGTGGAGGTCCTTTCATAACAGACCTATTGCAGAAAAGTCTTGAAATTAAAAAAATTGGGAGCCAATAAACGTGGGTTGAAGGGTAAGCCCAAAGAAAATCTGTGGAAGGCCGTGTTGTGGGAACTGCCTGTAAAAGAATAAGGGGTTAACTTCTTGGGGATGCTGTTCCTGAAGGTTAGAGGAAAGGTGGGGAGGCCACCTTGGTATAACAATCCTGGTGTTGCTAGAACACAGAGATGCTAATTTAAATCTATCTACCAGTGCCACATAAGATAACCAACTTTATTCAGTGAACATGCATACAGCATTTACACACAGCCAGCCATGTTCTAAACCCTGGAAAATACTAATTCATTTCATCCCCATGGGAATGCTATTCAGTGAGCAGAGGGCTATCACTATCTTTTGTAGGTGAGAAAACTCAGATCAACAGAAGTTAAAGCCGTTCCCAAAGGCACACAGTAGTAATAAGGGAGCTCTGCTTTGAATTCAGTCAGGCTCCAGGGTCCAGATGCTAGGCCGTTTGACCACCTTTCATTTTTATGGAATCTGCTTAGAGAATGAGGGTGGCATTCACAGCACTTTGTAACTCTTACTATAAAGTCTTGTAGAGCCTAAGCACCTTTTGCAGGGCATTTTATCATTTTATGATGCAGAAGATATTTTTCTTTTTCTTGATGAGATGTTTGTCACCAGCAATTAGAAACTTCTGTTGTTTTCATGGTCAAGCTACGGGATTTTATTAGTTAACATCAGGAAAAAGGAAAGAAAGTCCTGAAAAGCTCAACTTACAGAAAGGGAAAGAGCAGAAAAGTGTTAGCAAAATGCTATGGCATGTAATGTAATGTTTTGCATCTGTAACTCTTATTGTTAGTTCCAAAATATTTTAGTTTCCTTGCCTTTATGGGTTAATTCTACATTAGTTGTTATGGATCATACTTATAATGTATTGAGTTTTTAAAGAAGAACGAACCTTACACACCTACACTGCTGACCAGCCATATAGCAGCATCACAGAAATGCAAAAAACTGAGCTGGAATCAGAAAAGCCCTTTTCCTTCTTGATGGCCCTCCAGCGCCCACTTGTGGCAAAATTAAATGCTGTACTCACTCTAAAGGAGAAAATGCCTCAAGAGCTGGTCCGATAGTGCCGCGCTGATACCAAAAGCGAATGTGAAGCTGAGACACCATAAATTGATCATTGGCTCATCAACTATGCAAAGAATTTAATCACAAATAATTGCTGAGTTTTACTGAGGGACTTTTCTGCATCTTTTGAAAGGATTATATGGTTTTTCTCCACTCTTTTGTTAAAGAAGTAAACTACATTGACAGTTTTTCTAATATTTAACCAATCCACAGCTCTGGGTTGAATTCTATCCGGTTACAAGATATGCACGTGGGCATGTACACACACAAACATACACACACACACACACATTGCTAGACTTGGTTTGCTCAAGTTTCATCTCAGATATGTATATTTAAGAGAATAACTGAAATACATCTAAAACTTTATTTCTGTTAGTGTCCAGTTTTGATGTCAATCTTATAATAAACTCATCAAATGACTGTATTTTCCTTTTCTATTCACTGAAAATACTTTGCAAAAGAATTATTTTTACCTGGAATGGTCCTTAAAATTCACCCTTGAAACTGGACCTACTATCTTTACGGATGCGAGGTGAAGATTTGGGGGACGATGTAGCATTCTTGAACGGTTATTGTTTAACTCATGTTTTCTCTTTCTTCTAGAGAATATCCTATTTTTATTCTATAGATTTTTCTCCTTTCCTTCTTTTGGATTGACTGTGGCTTTTAAAAATCCTCCTCTCTATCTGGGAAATTATACATCATATTGTGCATTGGGTCTTTTTTTCTCTTTTCCTACTCAATCTTGTCTAAATGCTTAGTTTTTTCAAAGAACTAGCTTGTAGGTTTATTAATCTTCTCTATATCTTTATGTTTTCTATTTCACAATTAATGAGTTGTGTATAATTTCCTTTCTATGTTTGATTTAGTACTTTCTCCATCCTGTTGCTCTTTCTCTTCCTCCTTGTCTTCTTAGTTGAATATTGAGCTCATTTTCTCTCCGTGATTTTCTGTTTTCTAATATACTTATTCAGGGGTATGAGTGTACCTTTAAGTATTGCTTTGGTTATAGATCCCATAAATGTCACTATATCACACTTTGAAAGTCTTTCGGTTTCAAACATTTCAGGTTTTGGGGAATATGTTTTCTCTTTTACTTTGTATTTTTCTTACTTTTTATTACTTTTAAAGTGTAATTTTCTAATTCAGTTACATTTGCTTTGGGATCGTGGACTATGTGATGTAGATTTTTAGGATTTGTTGAGGTTCTGTATTTTACAAATATTCCATGTGTTTTTAAAGAATGTATATGATCCATTTGTGGGAAACTGAGTTCTCTATGTATTTATTGGATCCAGTCTCTTAATTATGTTGTTCAAATCTATATTCTTATGATTTTTTGCTGTTATTTTCTTTGTTTCTTAGAAAAGTATTCTAAGTCTTCCCACTCTGACTGTGGATTTCACCCATTTCTTCTCTAATTCAGTAAACTTCTCCTTTACTTGAAGTTATGTTATGAAGAGCACAGAATTATTTCTCCTTGATTATATCTTTTTTATTACTATTTGATGTCTCTCTTAACATCAGCTTGCGAGGGTTTTTTGCCTCAAGATCCATTTTACCTGCTATTTAAGATTGTTAGAATATTTTTTTCTCATCTGTATTTTTTCCATCTTTCTGTTTTCAGCTTTTTTCAGAAATTTTATTTAAAGTAAATCACTTGTAGTCATCCTTTAGCGATTTTTTTCAGTCTGTTCTCTCAATGTATAGCTATAAACTTTACCATGCATATTTAGAGCCTTTAGCAAACCAGCTTTTCATTCCTCCTTGCAATAAATGATGTTGAAATAAAGTCAGTTCTGCCATTATGCAACATACACATTCTTAACACTTATGCGCTGAGCAAATTTGCATAATAAGAACTAAGGGGTTCATGAGAAACATGAGGTTAGGGCCGCAGCACCCAAAAACTTTGTTGGTGATACACAAAAAAAGACAGTTACCTAATAAAGACGACACCTAATGAAAACTGTATGCATGTCCCTTCAGCCCTACAGACTTATAGACTCACTCAAGGGGGGTAGGGTCCCTCTTGCTAAGAACTAAAGGTGGTATCTTCCTCTATTTTATCTCCATCATCCTCATAAAGACTTCTCCTCTACGTTTGATTAATTCTTAGCAATCATTTACTGGGCATATGTAGACACTGGTGTTTTGTTTTTCTTTATATTTTGAATGGACATTACAAAGAATGAAGTGGTGAGTGGGATAATTTATGTATAAATCCAATGAATCTAGGATCATAGGATTATTGGCACCTTGGACCACAACTAGGTAGAAAGGAACTACTGAATATAGTCGTTGTTCGTGTGACACAGGTTTAATTGCCATTGGAAACTTCAACTTTTTCCAAAATAGAGTTATGCTAGGGTTTGGCATGGGTTGAGGGCTCACCTAGGAATTTAAAGGAAATAAATAAGACATTTACTGTACTTCTCTTCCCAATTACAGCTCTGTTCCGTGGAACCTCCATGAGCCAGAAAGAGGCAAATTTGACTTCTCTGGAAACCTGGACCTGGAGTATGTGCTGTGGCTGCATCTGGACCTGCCTGGGGTGGGAGGCAGAGAGGTGGCTCCTGGGGGTGACTTAGTGGCCATGGGGGCATCTTGGCTCTGCTTTGAGAAACTGGAGAGAGACAGGTCTGGATGGAGCTTGTTCTCAGAGTGCCGTGAAGGGCTCTGCCCCCAGGACGCAGGGCCTCTCAGGCCGTGAACCTGCTCCTCCCAGGGCTCTGGGCCTGCCTCCACCAAGCTCAGACCCTCCGCTGCAGCCCAAGGTGCCTCATCCCATGTCGGCCCTGCTCTGCAGTGTGGTCCGTCCAGCCCCGGGTGGGGACGGGGTACTCCTCTAGGGCAGCAAGGCCGTGGGGGTGAGGTTCACTGTTAGGATCCCCCATGCCCTGATGCCCTTCCTCTTCATGTTCCCACTGCAGCTGCACAGATAGTCCTAGGCTGGGAGGTGGTGAGTGCCCAGCACCCAGGGCCTCTGGCCTGTGGCCTGGTGTAGGGGTTCCCTGCTCAGCTGGGGAAGGGGCTGTGGCCTTCCCTGCACTTGCCCAGTGTCTCTGGTTCAAGGAGGAGGGCAGGTGAGGAGAGGAGCCAGGCAGCCCCTGCCCACCCTCTGCTCTGATGTGTGAGTTGCTGACCTTGCCCTCCTCCCGACCCACCCAGGTCATTTGTGCTGATGGCAGCAGAGATTGGGCTGTGGGTAATCCTGCGTCCAGGCCCCTACATCTGCAGTGAGATAGACCTCAGGGGCTTGCCCAGCTGAGCAGGGCTGAGTCCAGGGTTGTGGGAGCAGCACAGTAGTTTGCTTTGCTAAAAATAAAACTTCAATTTTATGATAATGAGCACATATTCTGTGTCTTCAACTTTGTGATGTGCTTTCCGCACATCATCTCAAATAATGTTTGCAGCAGTGTGGTGAGATGTAGGTACTATTGTCATCCCGTTTTACAGAATCAGACCTGTGGATGTTGTTCCCAATGGTGTGGGTGTGTGGCTGTGTGTAGGGGGGACACACCATATTCCTCTTTTTTTAATGCTGAGGTGCATACTGTGAAAGCACAAGTCTTAGTGACACAATACAATGTAAACATTGTGGCATTTGTATGCACTGGTGCAACCATCATCCAGATCAAGATATCAAACATTCTCTCTAATTTCACCCCATCCCCTCTCTTCCCTCTCCCCCCACCCATTATGATCACCAGTCTGTTCTCCATATCTATGAGTCTGTATTTGCTTTGTTTTTTAGACTACACATTGAGATCATATGGTAATTGTCTTCTTTCCCCACAGGAGGGAGCTACGCCCACCTGTGGTCTGTGGTGGGAAGAAAGGGAAGGGGCGAGAAGAGAGGGTTCTGAGGATTTCTGATTTTTCTCTTACCACTGAGGGAAGATAGAGTTCTCAGGTGCTTTCAGGGCCCTCGGCTCCTCCCTCTGTCCCATGTCCTTTGCCCTGTTCCCTCATTTGTGATGCTGGCCCTCCTTCCCACAGCTAAGCATGCTGCTCTCCTGGTATCTCCTCATGTGGTCCATGGCTCTGCTCTAGGTGAGCATCTTCACTTGCCTTGGCCAGGTATAGGCTCTGCTCTTCTCCAAGATGAACCTGTTCTCCCCTCCCAGCTCAGGATCAGAAAAGCCTGACCTCGAGGGAGGTGGGTGCTCTAGAGAAGCAGCACTCCCTGCCCACTTGAGCTGTAGGTCACCCAGTGCCTCAGCAGAGACCTGGGCGCATGCTTCCTGCCACTGAGCTCCCACTCTGTGCTTGAGCTGACAGGTCTTAGAGGAGCTATGGCCCTGTGCCTCAGGTGCATATGCTGTGCTCCAGAAAAATGCTTTAGGGAGCTGAAAAAGAATGAGGAGAGCATTCGATGACAGGTCACCAGAGCTCACTGAAACAGGTGAAGCAGCCTGCACAGAGCAGGAAGCACCTCCCAGGCTGCAGAGTGTCACATTGGTGGAGGTGGTATCTTTTCTGAGAAATCTCACAAGCTGGTGAGAATGGTCCAGAAAGCCTGCATGGTACACATCCTTTCAGGACCCTTGAGTGCTTCCTGGTCATGGACGAGAGATCGAAAGATGTTTCACTGTGCCGAAGGGGGTTGTGGGAAGAGGCTGGCTGTCAGAGCTTGGCCCCTGCCCCTGACTCATCCTCACCATCTTCCTGTCTCATACATTGAGTTTGTCCCCTTTCACCCCCAGTTGTCTAGTGCAGAACCCCAATCTGAAACTGAGAACAATCAACAAGGGCTTTGTTGAAGCAGTCGATAAATATTTTGACCACCTGATTTCCAGAGTGGTTCCTCTCCAGATAAAGCCAAATTACCTTTTCCTTTTAAAAAATATTTGGTTTAGGAAAATATTTTGTCCTGGCTTATTGACACAATAGGCCGTGTCCAGTGTCTTTGAGACTTGAAGCTATATTCTTAACAACTGTGGCTTCTAGACTCTCATCTTAAGTGCAGCTTTTACTGCAGGGTGCTAGAAAGACATGCATTACCTGAGACAGGGACTGACAAAGGGTACAGGTTTGTGATTGGCCTCATTGTTCTGAATGTCTGTACTTGATATGCACTGAACTCACTGATGTTTGTGTGGCTTATTTCTGCTCTTAAATTATCTTGGTTGGTTTAGACAGTTAATATGAGCACTTAATTAAAAAGCTGAAAAGAGAACAAAAGAATTTATGGTGAAATGAAAACCATTCAGTTGCCTTTTCACAGCACAACCAACACATTTTACTAGATTTTTGTATGTCTTCCTAGGTATTTTCTATACACATGGAAGCAAATTATTTATATACATGCTTATACACACGTGTATATATATATACATTTTATCTAAAAATATACAATTCCCACTAGACATTTTTTTATTTTAGTATCATTGATGTACAGTTACTTGAACAACATTATGGTTACTAGATTCCACCTATTATCAAGTCCCCCCCACACACCCCATTAAAGTCACTGTCCATCAGCATAGTAAGATGCTATAGAATCATTACTTGTCTTCTCTGTATATAGTGCCTTTCCTGTGTCCCTCCCTGCTACATTATGTGTGCTAATCATAATGTCCTTTTTGCCCCCTTATCCCTCCCTTCCCACCCATCCTCCCGAGTCCCTTTCTTTTTGGTAACTGTTAGTCCATTCTTGGGTTCTGTGAGTCTGCTGCTGTTTTGTTCCTTCACTTTTTTCTTTGCTCTTATACTCGACAGATGAGTAAAATCATTTGATACTTGTCTTTCTCCCCCGGCTTATTTCACTGAGCATCATACCCTCTAGCTCCATCCATGTTGTTGCAAATGGTAGAACTTGTTTTCTTCTTATGGCTGAATAATATTTCATTGTGTATATGTAACACATCTTCTTTATCCATTCATCCACTGATGGACACTTAGGTTGGTTCCATTTCTTGGCTATTGTAAATAGTGCTGCGATAAACATAGGAATGCATCTGTCTTTTTCAAACTGGGCTCCTGCATTCTTAGGGTAAATTCCTAGGAGTGGAATTACTGGGTCAAATTGTATTTCTATTTTGAGTTTTTTGAGGAACCTCCATACTGCTTTTCACAATGGTTGAACTAGTTTACATTCCCACCAGCAGTGTAGGAGGGTTCCCCTTTCTCCACATCCTCGCCAACATTTGTTGTTTGTCTTTTGGATAGTGGCCATCCTAACTGGTATGAGGTGATATCTCATTGTGGTTTTAATTTGCATTTTCCTGATGATTAGTGATGTGGAGCATCTTTTCATGTGCCTGTTGGGCATCTGAATTTTTTCTTTGTAGAAGTGTCTGTTCAGCTCCTCTGCCCATTTTTGAATTGGCATATTTGCTTTTTGTTTGTTGAGGTACGTGAGCTCTTTATATAATTTGGATGTCAGCCCCTTATCGGATATGTCATTTATGAGTATATTCTCCCATACTGCAGGATGTCTTTTTTTCCTACTGATGGTGTTCTTTGCTGTACAGAAGCTTTTTAGTTTGATATAATCCCACTTGTTCATTTTTGCTTTTGTTTCCCTTGCCCAGGGAGATATGTTCATGAAGAAGTTGCTCATGTTTATGTCCAAGATATTTTTGCCTGTATTTTTTTCTCAGAGTTTTATGTTTTCATGACCTACATTCAGGTCTTTGATCCATTTTGAGTTTACTTTTGTGTATGGGGTTAGACAATAATCCAGTTTAATTCTCTTAGATGTAGCTGTCCAGTTTTGCCAACACCAGCTATTGAAGAAGCTATAGTATTTCCCCATTGTATATCCATGGCTCCTTTATCATATATTAATTGACCATATATGCTTGGGTTTACATCTGGGCTCTCTATTCTGTTCCACTGGTCTATTAGTCTGTTCTTGTGCCAGTACCAAATTGTCTTGATTACTGTGGCTTTGTAGTAGAGCTTGAAGTCAGGGAACATAATTCCCCCAGCTTTAGTCTTCCTTCTCAGGATTGCTTTGGCTATTCAGGGTCTTTTGTTGTTCCACATGAATTTCAGAACTATTTGCTCTAGTTCATTGAAGAATGCTATAGGTATTTTGATAGGGATTGCATTGAATCTGTAGATTGCTTTAGGCAGGATGGTCATTTTGACAATATTAATTCTTCCTAGCCAAGAGCATGTGATGAATTTCCATTTATTAGTCTCCTCTTTAATTTCTTTTAAGAGTGTCTTATAGTTTTGAGGGTATAGATCTTTCACTTCCTTGGTTAGGTTTATTCCTAGGTATTTTATTCTTTATGATGCAATTGTAAATGGAATTGTTTTCCTGATTTCTCTTTCTGCTAGTTCATCATTAGTGTATAGGAAAGCAACAGATTCTATGTATTAATTTTGTTTCCCACAACTTTGTTGAATTCAGATATTCGATCTAGTAGTTTTGGAGTGGATTCTTAAGGTTTTTTTTGTACAATATCATGCCATCTGCAAACAGGAACAGTTTGAATTCTTCCTTACTAATCTGGATGCCTTTTATTTCTTTGTGTTGTCTGATTGCCATGGCTAGGACCTCCAGAACTATGTTGAATGAAAGTGGGGAGAGTGGGCACTCTTGTCTTGTTCCTATCTTAAAGGAAAAGCTTTCAGCTTCTTGCTGTTAAGTATAATGTTGGCTGTGGGTTTGTCATATACCCAGTAGACATTTTTCTTTTGTCATGTGAAAATATATCTTTGAATGCTGCCATTCTTTATAGTGGCTGCATAATATTCCACAACAGAAATATCATGACTCATTCAACAGCCCTTGCCATGCGTATCTTTCAAGGTTTTATTATAATGAGTAACCTGATGCATGTCATTTTTGTGCCTCTGTGAGTATATTAGCTACTGTGTGGGAATAATATATGAATCAAGTATAGAAATCAAATGTATAATTATACAGAACTTGATTACTTTTCCTGTAATTCCTGATAAGTGATCAAGAACAGAACAAGACCAAAACAGTTTTGGTGACCTAATTGCCCTTGCTGTTGTTTCAATACCTCGTAAGACGTTGCTCCCCAGGAGACTAGAGACTCCGAGGATTAAGTTTAGAGTTAGTTAATGGTTGTCTATTAAGTCCCCACACAGAATTCTGTTGTTGTTATCTTGCATTTGCTCAATAAATACAAGGGGTGCCCTCTCAGCACCACTCTTGTGCTGTTATGCCTTGAATCCTGTGTTATGCCTTGAACGGATTTATAAACATCCATTTAGATCTTCAATATCTCATTGCATCTCCTCCCTTGTCTGCGGGTCAGAAGCAGAGAGGGGACCGACATACTGCTTACATTTCAATTTGTTTTCATGTCTTAAATGCAAAGGGGACAGATGCCAGGTGTTTTCTTCTCCCCATGGAACCCAGACTTTACATACTTGACGAGAACTGCCTTATTTTCACTGTGTCAGTCTACAGTCATAGACCAGTCTGTGACAAAAAAAGAACATACTTTGCAGTCTATAAGGCAGCATTGTTTGATCATTGTGTTTGATTTTTAAAATATAACACTCTTCCAAATAAGAGGGGGCACATTTATTACTTGAATAAAAATCTTATTTTAAGAACATACCTCTTGATAAAACTTGAGATGGGATAAAAATCAAGACTATTATGTAGTAGACTAGCAGCTTATATTCTTAGGCTCTTTTTGGGAAAAATATGATGCAGATCTAGTCCTTCAAAACAAATTCTGAACTGTGAATTGTGAGTTACTCTTATCAGTATAATTATAACAGGAAGACATGGGAGATTAGAAATGGAAATAATGTCAAACACAGATTGGGAATATTTCTGCAATATGACATTAGGAGACATGAACAACAATGAGGGAGGTAGAAGACCTTGTTTATGGCTTAAACTCTGGGTCTGTTTGGTGGAACTGAGGTACATCTTTTGTAGGAAGGCCTGAAGGCATGTTCCTGGCTGCTTTTCTGCCATCTAGGTGGGACTCAGTGGCAAGAGTAAAAACCTATGAGCATTAAAACTAGAAAGACTTTGAATGTCTGGATGGAAGTTCAGGCACAAGTACAGATGCATTTGTATAGATGCAGCAAGCAAAGCAAATTTATAAACATCTGTTCAAATCAGGTAGGCAATCCTAGGAAATTTTTCAGAAGTAAGGAATTATAAGTGCAAATGAAAGGTATAGGGTTTGTTATTACTAAATTATTAGCATTTTAAGGTCTTTCTTTTGAGTGGTTATCCTCATTGTTTTAATTATATTTAAATATCTTTTAGAGTGTATTTACTGTTCATTGGGATCTTTATTCTTAGAATCCTGTTTATTTCTTAAGGTCAACCATGCATTCTCCTATGATGAGATTTCTAGAAACTTCACCCTTCAGTGTGAAATTAAGATACTACTTTTCAATAATACAAACAACTGTATGCAAATTTATCAGTTCAAAATACTTATTATGTTCATTCAACAAGTGATTATTGAGCACCTACTATGTGCCAAGCACTGTGTAGGAGTCAAGCTTCTAATGACATGTCCCTGCCCATGGAGCTTACAGTCCAACATGAGTGACAAGCAAGCACTTAAACAGGAGTGACCATTGCTCCAGTGGAGGAAGTGCAGGAACCCCCTGACAGATGTGAAACAAGGAGAATGACAGGTGCGGAGCAAGTTTTCAGAGAAGGCAAATGGTGGACAGGCATTAGCCAGGCCGGGACAGTGGTCAGGAGGCCCCAACACTGGTGACGACCAGAAGGCAAGAGACGGGAGGAGGAGCTTGAAAAACTAAAGGAAGGTCACCTCAAACGGTGGGGCTGCGAGATGAGCCCGCCCAGCTGGCGCGCCCCCCTCTGCGCCCGGGAGGGGGAGGCCTCGCTCTGACACGGGCGTTCGCTGTGCGGCAGGAGCCAGCTCGAGGCGAGCGCGGATCAGATGCCCTGCCCTCCCGGTGGAGAGACCCCGAAGGGCCGGCGCCAGCCTGCGAGGAAGGCCAGGGGCGGTTAACGGGAGCCAGCAGAACCCGTCCCTGATGGGGGCTTTGGGCCGCCGTGGCAGCGAAGTTTCCCCGCGGTGGTTTGTGGAGTGGGTAACTGAGAACGTGCGTGGAAACAACCGGCCACTCTTCCCAAAGGCCGGGCTCGCAGAGCCAGCACACAGCGCCCTGAGTGCGGGTGTTGGAACGTAGGGTGTCGGAGCAAGTTCCCAAGACGTGGACTGGCTCAGTTTGGAAGGAAAGGATGAAGGAGGAGGGAGAGGGAACTGGTCTCTGCAGAGGGGCCGTAGGGGCTCCTCAGGAGGGTGGCAGGGCTCTGAAACAGGAGGACAAAGGAGGGACACCCCTTCATGTGGGGGGGGGGAAGTGGATGGGGTGGGTGGAAGCAGGTGAGTTTGTGGGTGTCAGATCCCTTACTTAAGCAGGTAATTAGTATGAGAAATAGAGGGGAACCTGGGGATTGCTTACATACAGACTAGGGACCGCCTGGCTCCTTCCAGTAGATGGGGCACCCAGAGTGACTGGCCAGAGGCCCTGGAGAGGAAAGAGGGTGCGGTGGCTGGTCTCAGTGTGGAGCAGGGGGTGCCTGCAGGTGTGCTGTCCTGAACCGCAAGCCACAGACCCAGCCCCACAGCCCGTCGTATGCTTGTCTCTCAGTACGTGAGGGGAGGCCCCATCACTGCAGTGCAGGTGGAAAACGAGTATGGCTCATTTAACAAGGATAAAGACTACATGCCTTATGTTCAGCAGGTACCAAACGCTTGGTGTGTCTCCGTGTTTACGGGCTTCCTGTCTCTTTCATGGGATGTGGCACTCAGGCATGTGGGTGGTGAGAAAATAGGAGCTCAGTTTCTCTGTGAATCTGCTATATGGTCAGGGCAGTCTAGGGATTGCAGTAACTTTATTACGAGATAAAACATGACATTAGAGGATTATTCCTTTCTAGGCGCTCTATGACCCACAATTCTCATTAACACTGGGGGTAGGTGAATCCATACCCACAGTAAGTAAATAAAGCTTCGTGAGCTCAATGATGAGGTCTATCATCTTGCAGCTTTCTGAGCTGTAGTATGAACATCCTTTCTTCTGTTACCTTTGCCCCTCCATGGAGGAATGTGTCAAGCCAGGAATAACTGCTGTCCTGACTGGTGTTCCTTCTGGTGGGTCAGGCCCTTTGCCATTCCTGGTGGCCCACATCAGGAAACTGATGAGTTCTAGCATAAACTGGACCTCTCCCTGGGGTGCTAAGAAGGACTAGCACTGTCCACATAGAAACTTCTGGGCAGAATGGCCTAGGGAGCGGTGGGGACAAGTTGCCAGCTAGGCAAAGAAGAAAGAGGGAAGGGACAGGCATGATCTCCACAGGTGTCCAGGCTCCTGCCCTACAGCTCTGGCTTCTGCAGCTGGACAAAGTCTGTGAGCAATGTTTCTCCCTAACTTTTCTCAAAGGGATCACATCAGGCCCCTTAGCTCCATCTCATCCAGCTAGTATTATTTTTTCTTGGTTTTTAAATTTTACCCCTGGAGCCAGTTATGGCTCCAGGAACATAAAAGGCCCACAGATGGGGTCCTCTCAGCCCCTGTTTGTGTGTCTGCTGCCTATGCCCTTGGTAAATATGATTTGAAAATTAGGTCCCCTTCCCCAAAGCCATGGCAGGCTTCCTCACTTCCTTTGGGTGGCCAGGTAGGACCCACGTTTTGTGTAAGTTGGCTTGGATATTTCTTCAATTATGGCCTTCTCCCTTTAGGCTCAAAATGCTTCAAGTCTTCTTCCTCTTCTTTCTTAGATTTAGATGAGCCCTTGGGGTGTTTCTTCATGAACTCAGCCTTGTGCTTTTCCCCTTGAGGCTATAACCATGGGGTGTCAGAGCTTATACTCAGCTGGTTTTGTGGCCGCCCCTGGGAAAAACACCAGGTGAGACAGAGGCCATGATTCCCTAGCTCACGAAGCTGCAGATGGCCAAGACTTTCAATGCACACCTTTCTCGCTAGCTCACACACTGCCCACCTGTGCCCACATCCATTTCCTAATTTCCTTATATTTTCTTCTTCCCATGGGAGCCAGGGAAGTGATTTCATTTTGTTTTCTCAACAGGCTCTTCTGAAAAGAAGGATTGTGGAGTGGCTCTTAACCTCGGATAGCGTGAAAGTTGTGTCAAGGGGCTGCATAGAAGGAGGTAAACACTAAAGGAGAATGGATGCTCTTGAACGCCATCCTGGATCTTGAGTGAGCCTCAGAAATTATGTCCCTCCTTCCATGTACCCCACCTTCCTTCCACAGACCCCAGAGTTATATCACTATGGACAAGAACTCATGGTCAAAAGGGTGAGTTCACTTCTTGCTCATGCTGTCTTTAAATGAGTTGCTTTCGAGCTTTTCCATCTGCAGGACACTTTTCCAACTTTCATAATTTTTCTGTATCTGAGAATCTGGATTGGTGCACCACCAACACGGAGAAGCAGAACAGAAGTGTCATGTGTCAGAAAGCCCACGTAGGCAAAGTCTCCCCTGGGGTCCTACAGCCGAGGTTTACTGAGCTCTGAGGAAGTCTTAGAGAGTCACGTGGCGGAACTGTTCAGACAGGATCATGGGATGCTTTTTGTGAGGTAAATGGCCATGGTACAAGCAGCCAGATGGGACTGGACTGTCTGTAAGGTAGTCTTTAGCTCAAGGCTGGGGCTGGTATGTACTGCTTTCTCCTTTTCATGGCTCTTCCCTACATTACTACTGTACAGTGGAAAGCATGTACTATGTGGGGTCAGGAAACCTGCATTCAATTGTTGGTCTGATCAAGTTGTATGACCTTGGCCTGTTCCAGTTCTCTGAACAAAACATGACTACTTGCACCTGCCTTTCTTACCTCACATTATCCCTGTGGTCCAATGTGAGGACATACATGGCAGCCCTTGTGCACTGCAAATCGGGGTGCTAGTAGTACTGGCCATCCTTCCTTCCAGGTGTGGGTGTGGTCCTCCACCCCCTGGTGGCACTGCTACCAGGCTCACACAGCCCCTCTCTTTCTCTCCACAGTACTGGCCACTGTCAACATGAAAATGTTTCAGAAGAACACTTTTAAGCACCTTTATGAGGTGCAGGTAAGGACATGGTAGGGATGAAGGTCTTGATGCTTCTTGGCCCTAGCCTCCCTGGCATGTGAGCTGGTGTCCATGAGGTTGGGAGGCTGGGCAACAAACCCACTGCTTCCCCTGAGGCCTTGGCTGGGTTCCAGAGAAACTGTGGAAGTTCATGCCTGTGTCCTGGGGAATGAGAAGTAATCTGGCCTCTGCCACCCTGGTAGTGGAGTGCCTTCTGGGGACAACCAGGGAAGGGTGAGGGCACCATGTCAGAGTGACAGATGTCCTTCTCCTGCAAGGACAGAGCTCAGAAATAGGCTGCATGCTGCTGACAGACTCATCTTGGTTTTGACAGGCTCAGCCCTTTTAGCCAGGCTGTGCAAATGCTGTGGTGAGTCCATTGAACAGACATGACTGGGTAGTACCCTATCCTTTCAGTGGGTGACCCCTGTGATAGATGTGAAGATGGACAAACCATGTCTCCACAGAGCCATGGACTGAGCTCTCACCGACGCACATGGTTACTGCTTCCTCTGCTTAACACGCTTTCCTGGTTTTCCTCTGTGCTGAGAATAATACTCCAACCTGTGCTTCGGGCCGCAAGGCCTGGTGACCCCACCTACCCTTCGTTCTGAGGAGACACAATTCAACCCATAACAGAATATTACTGAGGATTCTTCACAGTTTCCCCCTCAGGACATTTGTTTGGATTTGTGGAGATAAAACCTGCATAAAGGTGTAATGCCCACCACATCTGGGCCCCCAGGGTCTTCACGCTCTCATTCTAGCCCAAAATATTTTTCTATGTGTCCTTTGGAAGCATCTTTAAAAATGCAATGAGAAATGTGTGAAGATAAGAGAAAAACATTCAGGATGATATTATCGTTATATCTGCTTAGGGGTCACTCGTTTAAGGGTGTTCAGTAGATTCTTTGCCTTTTTTCTCTAAAGGTTTATTGTTATTTTTTGGTGGTGTTTTTTTCTCTGGCTTTTTAAAATTGAGGGATAATTGACAAATTACATTAGTTCTAGGTGTACAACATCATAATTCAAAATTTGTATATATTGTGAAATGATCACATTAAGTCTAGTTAACATCCATCACCACAGAAGTTACAATTTTTTCTTCGTATGTTGAGAACTTTTAAGATCTGTCCTTATAGTAACTTTCAAATATGCAATGTATTACCAACTATAGTTACCCTGCTGACATTACATCTCTATGACTTACTTGTTCTATAGCTGGAAGTTCGTGCCTTTTGACTCCCTTCACCCATTTTGTCCATCCCCATTCCCTGCCTCTGGTAACCACCAAATGTTCTCTGGGTCTTGCTGCTGTTGTTTATAGATTCCACATATAAGTGAGATCATATGGTATTTGTTTCTCTGTCTGATTTATTTCATTTAGCATAATGCCCTCAAGGTCCATCCATGTTGTTGCAAATGGCAAAGTTGCATTCTTTTTATGGCTGAATAATACCCCACTGTGTGTGTGTGTGTGTGTGTGAGAGAGAGAGAGAGAGACAGAGAGACAGAGAGACAGAGAGACAGAGACAGAGAGAGACATCTTTATCCATTCATCCATCAATGGGCAATTAGGTTATTTTCATATCTTGGCTGTCATAAATAATGTTGCAATGAACATGGAGTTGCATATATCTTCTCAAGCTAGTATTTTAATTTCTTCACATAAATACCCAGAAGTGAAATTGCTGGATCATATAGTAGTTCTATTTTTAAATTTCTGAGGAAACTACAAACTATTTTTGGTAGTAGCTCCACCAATTTACATTTCTACCAACAGTGCACAAGTGTTCCCTTTCCTCCACATCCTCATCAATACTTGTTATTTCATGTCTTTTTGGTAAGAGTCATTCTAACAGCTATGAGGTAATGTCTCACTGTGGTTTTGATTTTGCACCTCCCTGAGGATTAGTGATGTTGAGCATTTTTTCAAGTGTCTGTTGGTCATCTATATGTTGGCCATCCCATTTCTTTGGAAAAAAATGTCTATTCAGTTCTTCTGCCCACTTAAAAATTATATTGCTAGTTTTTTGCTAGTGAGTTGAATGAATTATTTGTATGTTTTTGGATATTAACCTATTGTCAGATAATTGATTTTCAAATATTTTCTCCCATTCAGTAGGTTGCCTGTTGATTTTGTTGATGGTTTTCTCTTTTTTTTCTAGGACCCTTGTATTTTTTTCTAATGTTGATGTTTTGTTTGCCATGAAGAAACTTTTTAGTTTGATATAGTCCCACTTACTTATTTTTTTCTTTTGTTGCCTCTGCTTTTGACATCAGGTCAAAAATCATTGACCAAAGACTGGTATCAAGGAGCTTATAGCTTGCATTTTCTTCTAGGAGTTTTGAACTGTGGCTCTGCCTTTACCTGCAGTGTGAGCCTCAGTTTCTGCAAGAGGAATTGCAGTCAGGTCCTTGTGTATCCATAGCCAGTTCTTTCAACCCCAGCCTCACCTATGGAAAGACTGTTGAAATTATCAGTATCCAGGTTGAGCAGAGAGGCACATAGAACTGGAAGGGTCTGGAGATCATGACTGTTTTAAAGGAGTGGAGGAACCAAGGCTTTGGATGTTGGCAAAGGTGTAGTGAGTCAGGGAGTTAGGGTTGATTAGGTAAAACTGAAACGCATGAGTTCCAAAAATTCTCATCTGTTGTATTCAGTTTTTCTGATTTTCTTTTTGACTTTTGTCAGACTTACTATTTGATTTGGTTTGTTTCTGGGGGAATAAGCCCATTATGATTATGGAATACTGGGTTGTCTGGTTTGACACAGGGGGAGGTAAACACATGGTTAGTAATGCAGAAAGTAAGTGTTTTGCAGTATTTGACCCTATGTTATGGGTCATTCACACATTTCTCTGCCTATTAAACAGTTCATTCAGCCACAGCTATTCATTCAACCCTTATTATGTACAGGGAGTTGGCTAGGCCTGAGGATGCTCTGGTGAATAAATATTACCTGGTTCCTACCCTGATAGAACTTGTAACTGAGTGGAGGTGACAGATATTTAAGAAGTACATCAACAATAGGGTTCTACATGTTGCAAGTGCTTTGTAACAGGTGCAGTGGTAAAAGAGACGGGGACAGACCTGCAGAAGTCAGGCAAGGTGGTCCTGGACAAGCCTCTGTGAAGGTGACATCTGCAGAAGGACATGAATTTACTAAAAGTCCTGATCGTCTCTGGAAGGTGCCCAGGCCTTCCTATGGAGTTGTCAGCTCAGGAGTGATAATTATCAGGGGATGACAGGCCATGGTGGTTGAGATCCTGAAGCCAAAGAGACCAGGATTTCAATCCCAGCTCTGCAGCACTGGCCTTGTGGACTGAGGAAGCTTTCCTTCACTTCCAAGTCTCAGTGCCCTCATCTAAAAATTGGGATTCTTATATAACCCACATCATATGGTTGTTCTGAGGATTAAATGCAGCAATCCATGCAAACTACTCACAATAATGCCTGCAGATGTTATTGGCTTAATAAAAGTATTTTTTTACTAAAGATATTTTGCTATCACTCTTACAAAAACAAGCACACTTATACCTGAAATAAAGAAAACCACTAAAAGTACTGGGTAATTGAGAAGAGCCTGCTTTGGCTTGAAAAATAGGGAAAGAGAAAAGATACCAAGACCCAACGTGCACAACAGTTTTCTGATCACTGTGTGTCAGTCATTATACCACATTTCCTACACGTATTTTCTCATCAGTGAATTCTATCATTCCTAGGATGTAGTAGGCGCTAGGACTTTCGTTTAACAGTTAAGGAAGCCACAGCTCCGAGAGAGAAAACAGGCAGTCCAAGTCATAGGCATAGTAAGGAGCACAGCCCAGGATCAAATCACACATCTAACTTACTGACTTTGAGCCATTTTGTTCCCTATCCTGGCCCTTGGAAAGATGATCATGCCTGTTAAATCATGGTGACAAAATGAGATTTTCTGTAGGTAAACGCTGAGGACAGCCCCTGGTGGACCTCTGCAGTTATACTAGGAGGTGGTAATGAGGGTATACTAATCACTTGTACAATTTCAAAAAATTTAATGAACATTAGATATTTAAGTGACATAAGGGTTCTTAGGCTATTAACAGATGTAGTTTGACATCAAATGGTGTCTATACTCTGGGAAAAATAACCTCAATACAGGCTCTTGTTATTGACGAGACTTGGTTTCCTAGAGTAGTTCTGGCCAATTCTGTCTCTTTTCTGGTTAGAATCTTAGTGAAGTTTGAAGGCAAAACAATCAATTGTGGGGTGGGGTTCGAATAACATTTCACCAGAGACTTCTGTCCTCTCTTAATTTGTAATTTTCTCTATGTCCTCATCTTCCTCCTCTACAGGTGTTGAAAAAATTGAGTCTTAATTTATCAAATTTGAGATCTCCTTCAATGTCTATATGTTTCATCATGGAACCAACTTCAGTTTCATAAGTGGAGCCATAAATTTTAGGAATTACAGAGGCTTTGTCACTAGCTGTGGTGAGTATTTGCTGGTACGGTCACCTCCCTGCATAGGTGGTGCTGAGCTCTGTAGAGGAGGCTCCGGAAGCATGTTCTGGCATCACTGGGTTCTTGGCCTGTAATCTATGGGACACCGGGGATTCTCCTCTCTATTTTCCTTGCTCCTGTGATGTTCCTAATACCCGCAGCAGACTGCCATTGCTGTAGATAGGGCTTGCCGGGACCTGGAGCCCTGCATCCTTCATCATGTACACTGACCGCTTGCGGTGAACCTCCTAAGAGAGACAGAATACAAGTGGTGATTGCCATGCAGGCCTTGGTGGCGCAGTGGGGCATGTAGATGGAGGAAAGAAGGGAGTGTCCATTAGAAAGTGAAACAGAGGAACAAGGCCTTCATGGCAGCCTCAGGTCCCCAGGCAGGCTGGGGGGGCTGCTGCTAGTCTGGCTTTATGTCCCCACATTTCAGCCTGGGACCCACCATCCCAGAAGAGGGTAGAGGTGCTTCTGTCACCCTCTGGTGACCCTGGCCCATCTCATGCCAGAAGTGCTGCATCAGGCCCGCTGTGCAGGGTGGCCTGGCTAGTGACAGAGCCCTGGTGTCTCGCAGACTATGACACTGTGCTGATGGAGGCCAGGGACTACATAGAAAAATTCTTCAAGCTTCGAAGACTCTTTGCATCCATCTTAAGTTCTCAGCAACCATTTCACTCTGAGAGATGGCCCTCCTTGTGAAGTGGAAGGGTGGGAATGGGAAGGTTTCCTCTATGGGAAGAAGCTAAATGGAGTGCAAGCGCCAGGGCAACCTTACACCCAAATTCTTGTTTTCTCATCTGTGAGCTGTATGGTTTTGCATGAGTGTTTTTAAACCCTTTAAGTCTCAATTCCTTCACTGAAGCATGAAGACGATACTAGTCTTAATGATTGTACAGGTTCAGTAAATTACTACGTGTAAAGCTCTAGTATGACATATGACATGATACTCATGTATACAATATAAAAGTCATTCTGTTTACTTTCATTTATTGAAATAAAGTTAGCTAACCATCTTCTGTGTGCTGGAAAGTAGGCAATCTGGGATTGCCAAAAGGCGTGAGACAGAGTCCCTGCTTCCTAAGGGCCCTCAGCCTGTGTGCCTGACATGACCCCTGAGGGTCTGTGTGTCTCCATTTTCTGTGCATATGAAATGATTCCAGCTTAGTTATTGCTGGATTTTCATCACTCTTGAAGAAGTATACCCATGTGCTGGGATAGAACCCAGTTCTCCAGGTGGATACAAGATTCCTGAAGGATGCAGAGGCTTGGGGAAGGCAGTAGTTATTTCAGGCACTTCTTGCCCCATTGCCCACTTTCACTGCAGCAACTCCCCTGCCTCCCTTACCTGAGCCTACTGCCAAGGCTATGTATCTTGCTGCGAGACTGTCCCACTGTGGGATGTCTTACGCTACTTAAATGAGGTGGGGATGACCTGGGCACTGTAATAGGGGTTGGCAATTGGAAACATGAGGGAGAAGGCCTGAGGCTATGGAAAGGAGATTCCTTCAGGGGCTTTTTATGGGGAAGTGTGAAAATAATCCTCTATATTCTGCCCAAATTTAGAATTAAGGGGCAAGAACCACAAGCTCCTTTGGTGGACTGTATACCGTTAGAATTGAAGAATGACTGGGGGTGGGAAGCAGCAGGATATCAGAGGCTCCTGTGTCCCAGCCGAGATGAACCCACATGGTAGATGCTCTCATGTGGGGTTCATGACCCATATGGGCAGGCTGCTGAGCTAGGACCTCATCATCTGAGTTTCTGAGTCCTCTTTACTGTCAGTGAGGCCAAAGGACTGAACTTGTATGGGTCCTGGTTCTCTGTTTAAAATTAGACTACCTGTTTTATTTTGAAGAAAAGGTGAGGATATTGAATTCATGTTGAGGTCTTGAATTCATATTGGTTTCACCTCCACTATCATTGTTTTAAATAAAAACTGTGACCATCAAATTGTAGGTGCTACATGAAAGTTTGCCCCATGCATATTCCCTTACGTAACTTCAGTTATGTTAGAACACATATTTACTCTGCTGATTCTCATCTTCACAGCCACTGTTCCCTCCACCAGGCCTCACATCCCTGAGTTTCCTGCTCAGTGGATATTTAAGTGCAAGAAAATGATCACACAGCATCTGGTTCATCCAAAGAAGTCTTGGGGACCATTAGGAGGCACAACAAAAGATGACAAGGGCCTTAGGAAGAAGGTTTCCTGGTTTCCAGAGCCCTGGCTCCTGTTTGCGTCCCTCACAGCCAGTCATATCCAGAACACCGGTCCACACGGAGAACCTTCCCATAAACAATGGTGATGGTCAGTCCTACGGACTCGTGCTGTATGAGACATCCATCTGCTCTGGGGGTCAGCTCCGGGCTGATGCTCAAGACACGGCACAGGTAGGGGTCAGCAGGCTGTCTGTAGAGGTAAGCAGAACATTTAGCCTAATCTGCTATTAGGGAGGTAATCAGTCACTGGTCAAACTTTACTATAAACACCTACTATGTGTCAGGTATTGGGGATAGAAAGTCGAACCAAATAGACCTGCTTATGCCTCTTGGGACCTCCCAGGCAGCGTCTAGCCATCTGTGAGTACCAAGGCTATTCCTTCCTTCATAATGATCTCCCCAAACCTGAGCCTCTCATCTCCCTCCTTTCAGGTGGGCATATCAGTCTGACTCTGGCTTTTCTTTTGCAGGTCTTTTTGAATGAGACAAGTATAGGAATTCTGGGTGACCATACTCCTAACTTGAGCATTCCTAAAATCAAGGTATATAATTCAAGAGTGTTGCCCTAGACCTCCAGCTCCGTGCAAACAGCCTGGTCCTGAGACAGACCACTTCCTCTGACCTCCATTACTGTTAGGTGCTGCTCATCATGTTGGGTCCCAGCAGGAAGTGCTGAGGTCTTTCAAAGAAATCACATCTCCCTGGCCCAGGCTATTAGCTGCAGCAGGCAGTTATCAGCCCCTAGTCAGGTCTGACCAGTCTCCGGGATTTCCCTGAGTCTCTGCATCCCCTGAAGCAGAGCAGTCCTCAGGGAATGAGGATATCCATCTGCTCCAGGGGTCGGCTCTGGGCTGATGTTCAAGACACGGCACAGGTAGGAGTCAGCAGGCTGTCTGTGGAGGTCCTCAGCAACCACTTCACTCTGAGGGATGGCCCTGCTCATGGAAGTAGAAGGGTGGGAATGGGAAGGTTTCCTCTATGGGCAGAAGCTAAATGGAGTCTAAGAGCCAGGGCAACCTTACACCCAAATTCTTGTTTTCTCACCTGCAAGCTGTATGGTTGAGTGAGAATGGGACAGGAATACACAGGGTCCTCTGAGAAAGGACTGCTGGGCCCTGGAGCCTCCCCTTCTCCCATCGCATGAACACGTTCTGCAATAGACTCTGTAGTAAAATGCCTGGCCATGCGGTCTCTGTGAACTGGTCTATCCCAAGCAGGAATGTCAACTTCTAAGGATCCTGGTGGAGAATCAAGGAAGAATCAGTTTTTCTTGGAAAATTCAACATGAGCAGAAAGGTGGGGTCTAGGCCTTAGAAATAGGCTATAATCTGGTTATTTGGTATTCAATGGTTATTTGGGCCTTTGTATCAGGGCTGTGTTGGGAGTGTGTGAGGAAAAAATGAGCCCTCCAGGCAGCGGGATCCCTAGTTCCTAGGACTGAAGATGCAGACTGCTTCCTACGGTTCCCCAGGGCAGGAACACGGAGCAGTTATGCAGTGCCTGGCTTGTCCCGAAGCAGGCCCAGTCTCCTTGTAGGGATTGCAGGGAAAGTTCAGATATTCAGTGGGGGACTTTCTTGGTAGCATGGGAACATGCATCAGGAAACATTCAGTCATAGCGGGGCAGATGGGTTTGCCTCCCTGCTGAGCACCCGGCATAAGGTGTACAGCCCTGCATTTTTGTCTCCCACTCTGGAGCCTACCCAGTCCCGCCCATTCTCTTTGCTCCCATCTGCAGAAGTAACTGGCTCTGTTACCATCAGTGACATTCCCCTGGTGGGCTTCACCATCTATTCTCTGGAAATGAAGCCAGACTTCTTCAAGAGGTATGCTCCATCTTCCACCCAATACAGACTTCGAGGAATCAGGGAACTCAGAGATTTCAAACTCTTCACTTTGAGACAAAGAGCCAAGATTCAGAGCACCGAGGTGATTTACTCTAGATTGCAGAGTGCTTCAGAATCAGGGATAGAGCCCTCGAGCCAGTCTCCTGATGCCAGTTTTAACGCCCCTAGTTGCATACATCTCACTGAGACAGCATTCTGTCCCTTCGTGGGAAAATCTGGGGTCAACACTGGGGGCACTGGGGAGGGTCAAATCTGGGGGCTGCAGGTGGGAAGGGCTTCCCCTCCCTCAATGCGTGGCCCTCCTTGCAGGCTTCGTTCTGCCACCTGGAAGCCTGCACCAAATAGCGATGTGGGCCCTGCCTTCTGCCTTGGTACCTTGAATGCTGGCTCTTCTCCCAAGGATACCTTCCTGAATCTAACGGTGAGTGAGCCGCCCTCTTCTGCGGTGCTTTATGTCCCAGCCACCTGCTGTTTTTTTAAAAGCCTTGAAGCAAATCCATGGCTGTCCTGGCAGGAACACTTCCCTTTCTTCCTTTCTTGCTCTTCCTCTCTTCCAACCAAGCTTTTCAACAATTCTGAATCTGCCTGATTTATCATTGTTTAAAAAGAATGTGTCAAAGGAAAAATCAAAACAAGACGTAGAGAGCAAAGCCTGGACATTCTCCTTCAAATCCACCCCATCCCATTCCCCTCTTCTTCACAGAACCAAGCATAACCAACAGTTTGTATGATTTCATACATAACTTTGCCTAAACACATACAAAATTACTTTTTACACTAATGGGATCATTCCATAAACTGTATTCTGCCACTTGCTTTTCTGGAGGGTCATTATTACCTAGTATATCTTTCTATGTGTAAACACACATAGAGATAATATAAATACTTATAAAATATGGATTATAGATCAGTAAATTATCACAAAATGAATGCCATACAACTACCACTGAGATCAAGTATTGTCAGCACCCCTCTTAATTACTACCCCCCCCTTCTCCCTAAGATGCAGCTCTACCTTGACTTCTAACACTCTAACTCATTGCTTCCTTTTTTTGGCTTCATGTAAATTCAGTTACATGATATACGGCTTCTTTTGTTCAACATTGTGAGATTCAACCATTACCTGATATTGTGGTAATTTGTTCATTTTCATTGTTGTATAGATTCCATTTTGTGAATATGCTATCCTTTATTTAACCATCCCACTGTCGACAGATATTTGTATTATTTCCAGTGTTTGGCTATTGTAAATAAGACTTCTTTTGTATTTATGTTCATGATTAAGGTATCTTGGTCAGGTTTTGATACCAACAGTTAAGGCCCTCATAAATGACTTGGGAAGTTGAGTTTATACTAGACTGATATTACTTCTTAAATATTTGGTTGCTTTCATAGTGGAACCATCCAGGGACAGCATTTTCTATGTGGGAAAGTTTGTAAGTATGGATTAAATTCCTTCACAATTAAAGTACTGAGATTTTGTTTCTTTAGAAGTTAGTTTTGATCAAGTAGATTTTTCTGGAGATTTTTTCCATTTCCTTTACATTTACAAAGGCATTGCATTTAAATTGCTTATTTTTAATGTCTCCTTTATCTATAGTAACATCTCTTTTTCCTTGGTGAGTCTCATAGAATATTACCAACTCATTAATCTTTCAAAGAATGAATGTTTGGTTGCGACTGTTATTATATTATGTATTTCTTTTCTGTTTAATTTCTGCCATTATATTATTTTGTTTATGCTTTTTATCTTAGGAGTTACCAACTTTTTTTATAATCTCTTGAGACAGGTGCTTAGGTAACTGATTTTTAATCTCCATTATTTTTTATTTTATAAATGTAGGCTATTATTTTGCATTTTAGCATGAATTTGGTTGCATTCCATAAGTTAAAAAAATTTATTTAGGTGAAATAGACATATCATACAATTAACCATTTTAAAGTGAACAATTCGGTGGCATTCACTACACTCACAATGTGTGCAACTATTTCTTCTATCTAGTGCCAAGTCATTTATTTATATCACTCTAAAAGGAAACCTTATATTCATTAAGCAGTTACATCTCCATCTTCCTCTCCTTTCAGCTCCTGGTAAGCAATAATCTCTCTGTGTCTATGGATTTGCCTGTTTTGGATATGTATTCTGTATGTTTCTAAATGTTTTATTTTCATCACCAATGAATTCAAATATATTTTAACTTCTTTATAATTTTTTCTTTTGCCTATGGATTATTTAGAAGTGTATTTCTTAATTTCCAAATATTTAAATATTTTATAGGAATCTTGTTACCAATCTCTTGTTTAATTGCACTGTGGTCTGAGAACTTAAAAATATGTTCACACTTGTTTAGTCCAACATAGGATCAAATTTGTAAAGATTCTAATGCATATTTGAAAGAATATATGTATTCTGCATGTGTTAGATAATGTTCTATATATGTTAATTCAATTTTGTTAACCATGTTTCAAATGTTTTCATGTCTTTATTGATTCCTATTGGCTTTATCTATTAGTTATTGAAACACTGCACAAAAAATTTCCACTATGGCTGTTAATTTTTTTTTTTTTGCCTGTTATTTTGTCAATTTTGCTTATATATTTATGCCTATACTTTTAGCTTGTCTATCTATACATTCAGGGTAAATGAAGAATTTTATTATCAGTAAATGTTCCTCCTTATCACTACTAATGCTTCTTGCTATAATGTCAAATTGTTCTGACATTAATAGAGCTGTAGCAACTTTTATTTGTTATATATTTTCCCATTGTCTTTCTTTTATTTTTCAATGCTTTCATATTTTAAATAATTTTCTTATAAATATCCTATAACTGCTTTGTCCCCTAAAACTCAGTCCCATACTCTTTGTCTTTTAACTGTAGTATTTTAGAGACTCCAATTTTGTGTTATCCATTTTGCTCTATCCCTTTGTGTCTTCTGGCTTGTGTGTTCCTCATTCTTGTTTCCTCTAAACTAAATTTTGGAAAATTTCTTCTTTCCTATTACTTAGTTTACTAAGTCTCTATTTAGCTATATTTTCTAATCTGCTGTGAAAAAATATGTGTTAAATTCTTGATTTTAATTATTATAATTTTTAGTTCTAGGATTTTCATTCTATAAGTTTAGCCATTTTTATAGTTCCATTTCTCTGTTAAAATTCTAAGTCTTGTCATTTATATCTTTGAATATACTAATTTATTAGACATAGTTATTTTAAAGCTTGTGACATAAATCCATTATCTGTATCACCTGTGCATCTATTTTTATTGCCTTTCATTTTGTTGGCTTTTAATTGTATTGTCTTTTTCTCACCATCTGCTTGATTATTTTTGATTGAGTGTCATATATTACATGTGAGAAATACTAGAAATAATTCAAGGCCTAAGATGACAGAGGATTTACACCCATCTCTTTAGGTGATTAGGGACACTAGTAATCACCTTACCACAGTTACAAGCACTGAAATGCTTTGAATTAAGGCTTCCATCCAATGACTGAACTCTTTCTAGTTCACTCTGCTTCTAGGGTGTGGCCCCTCATGGTACCAACCCAGAGTGTAGATTATTTAATAAGGTTCCCTGGTATCTAACTTTTGTTCTCCTAAACTTATGAGGGGACAAATATTCTGCCCAGCTTCCCAGCCTCCTCTTCCAAAGTAAGAGATGCCTCTAGTGGACAGACTACCTCAATGTCTTTTTGTTTCTCAGTTTTCTTCTCCTAGATCTTGGTTCTATAATTCTTCATTGCATTGCAGGCATATTTTTAAAACTTGTGCAGCCTTTAAAGCTGTTGTCTGCAGCAGTGATCCTCTCTATTACCTAGTACTTATTTCTGGAAGCAGAAGAACTGCTTTTTAAAAAACCATAGCATTCTACATCACAGGGCAGGAATAGTAGTAGCATTAGCACTAAAGGTTGGGTTATGTTTTCCTTTTGTCAGCACAGCTGGGCAGAACCTCTCAAGCAGACCAGGTTCTGAATTCACTCCCTCTTTCAGTGCCATGAAGCCTCTCAGTCTTCCTTTCTCTCTGCCAGGTGCCTTAGGTTTTACGTTGCCAGTATGAATCTGTTCTCATGTCTCAAGCCTCTTCCATCCCTTCCAGAATTGGGATTATGGATTTGTGTTCAAGGGACGTAACCTTGGGCGCTACTGGAATATTGGACCTCAGGAAACACTTTACCTTCCTGGTGCCTGGCTTCACCCAGAAGATAATGTGGCAAGTCACCACCACTCCTGCTTTACATCTCTCATGAACATTCAGATCTGCCTTCACCCCCAGAATGTCTTTCTCATCCTGTACTGAAGAGGCTTACCCTTTCTTACTGTCAAGCCCTATTTTCTTCCTAGATCATCCTGTTTGAGAAAAAGGAGTGGTTCATACATTGAAACTGCAGGTGAGCCCAAGCTGTGAGACTGTGTTACAACATATGTCTTGGATTGTTGCAGTTCATCTAAAAGTAGGAGGAAGATTTATGTCAACAAATTCAAACACAGTGTTGTCTACAACAGTGAAAATGTGAAAATTACCTAAAATATTAACAGGGAAATTGTTATGTTTATTATAGCATGATCTATATGCCTATTTTTAGGCTTTAAAGTCTTCAAAATCTTTAATGCCTGATTTATGTAGTTAAATGTTTCATTCTTAGCAGGTCCTTATTCTTTAGCCAAATGTGCTTTTAGGCAAATATGAATAAAATAAAAACAATTTTATCTCTGTCTTTCCATGCTTAGTTGGGGGTAAAAGGAGGTCCTGGCATAAGAGAAAGAATGCCAGGGAGGGCACTGTCCAAGGCAAACTCCTGGTGTGTGTGTGTGTGTGTGTGTGTGTGTGTGTAGGAGGTGAGATCCATTTGGGCATTTCCCAGCAGTCTGTGTCTCAAGGTGGCCTGGTGAGTCTCATGCAGTCAGAGAAGGAAGAGCAATGTGGTTGTTTGGTTGTGTCATGACTGACAGCAAAGTCTGGCATAGAAGACTCTGTTTTATTACTCCTGAGCTATCTGGGTGTAGTCAAAGCTCTTGCTGATGGTGGGCAGATATTAGTGAGGTAAGGCACACAGCATGGGTAACCCAACCAATTTTCTCAAATGGCACCATTGGAAACTAATCACATTATTATAATCAAAATAGAACACTTTAGCCTAAATGCAGACCATTGCACTATAACAAAATATTACCAAAATATTATAGTGTCTAGGGGCTTCCAATAATTTAGCAAATAATCTGATTTCTAAAGGGAGGAAGGAACCTTCCTGTTTGGGATGATGACAAAGGGGTCAGATCATCTTCTCTCTACTGTATCTTTCCTCTAATCTGTATAGATGGTCACTGAAAGAGAACTCTATCATGTACCTACTATACATAGGACTTTATTATATCTATGCAATACCTACATAAAGGTTATTCTCTGGGGCTTTCTACTCTAACCCCTGAAATTTATGCATAAACTATAGTCTAAGGGAGAAAAACAGAAATAATAATCATGAAGATTATGAGTATGTATTACATTTCAGGTACAATATATATATATACATATATAAAACACCACTTCTAACCTTAACCATTAACACTTAGCCACTTCTAACCATTAACAAGTATGTGACACATCCATTTTCTAATGGAAAAATCAAGATTCAAAGAAATGTCTGAATACGTGTGCTTCTGCTTCACACCTCTTTTGTAGTTATACCTCAGCTCCACACCTGTGTCAGTCTTTCCAAATATGAGCCCAACAATACTATACAGAAGATGTAATAACTTTCAGTGTGCTTGGAGAAAAATGCTCACAGCTTAGAATTCTTCACCCAGCAAAACTGTCTTTCAGGAAAAAAGAAAAAAAACAAACTACAGACCTTCCAGACAAAGGCCAAGAAATTTTATCATCAGAAGATCCATGCATTCAGGGGAATTCTGGAGAAACCTTTCTCAGCTGAAGTTCCATGAGAGAATTAAACCCTAGAGGAAATGTTTTCAGTGATTAGTTTATATCTGTATCATTCTAGATGCATACTAGGAAAAAGTTAATTCAATACAGACCATGCATGTCTTAGGGCATGGAAGCTTGTCTCTCAGGGAACCCCTGTTGAGAACAGATGTCCTAAAAAGATACTGTCCAGCAGAAAGAAAATGACCCCAGAAGGAAGGTCTGAGAGTCAAGATCGGGGATGTGGAGCAAAGAAAGGATGCTGACAAATATGCCAATACATGTGAGCAAACATTAATTCAACAAAAATATACTACTGTCTCATTTGAGGGGAAAATCAGTATAAAATTGTAAGGCTAGGAGAAAATGTAGTGTAAGGTGAGAAGCTGTGATGGCCAAAAAGGTCCTCTAAGGTTTCTGTAATACTCAGATATTAGCTTTAGACATTGGTGAATGTGCATGTTAATAAACCTAGCTTAACTCTTAAAAGAAGGAGGCATGTAGTTTTCAAAAAAAAAATCTACAGGGGATAAACAGAACAAGGAACAACTAGAAACTCTAACCAACCAAAGGTAAGAAGGAATAGAACATAAAGAAGAAGAAAAATAAGTACAAGTAGAAAGCACATATTAAGACAGTAAATAAATGCAAATATATTGGCAACCACAGTAAATTTTGTAAATGGACTAAACCCCCTCATCAGAAGGCAAAAGTTGTCAAACAACTTTAAAGAACTCTAAATATAAGACTTTTACAGAGACACACCTTTAACATAAGAACACAAAATAATAGAAAGTTGTCACAATTCATCAAGCTATACACTAAGATTTGTGCATTTTATTATATGTACCTCAGTATAAAAATTTTTTGAAAATTAAAAAAAAAATGACCCAAAGTTGAAAGATAAAAAATATACCATGCAAAATCTTACAAAGAAAGCTGGAGTAACCATATTAATATCAGGCAAAAGGTAGACTTCATGACAAAAGGTGCTTCTAGATATAGAGGGTTACTAATAGTGATAAAAGATCCAACTCATGAGAAAGAAGAGTTCTAGGGTTGTATGTTCTAAAAAATTTACCCTCAAAGTACATAAAGTAAATCGTTCTGGTTCTGGATTTAGAAGAAGACAGAGTGCTTTACACTTGAGAAGAGTTTTTTTGAAATTAGAATATTCATATAAAATCCCTCTTTTAAATGTACAATTCAGTAGTTTTTAGTATAGTATATTTACAAGGTTTGTAACAATCACCACCATCTAAATCCAGGACATCTTTGTCACTCCCCAAAGAAACCCAATACCCATTAACAGGTACTCCGGAAGCCCTTTCCCCCCGCCCAGCCCCTGGCAATCACTGATCTACTTTCGCTGTATAGATTCACCTATTCTGAATACTTCATGTACATGGAATCATACAATATGTGGCCCTTTGTGACTGCCTTTTTTCATTTAATATAATTGTAAGATTCATCCAAGTTGTAACATCTGTCTGTGCTTCCTTTTATGGTGGAATAATATTCCATTATATGAATATATTGCTTTTCCATTCAATTGATGGATATTGGGTTATTTCCACTTTCTAGAAATTGTGAATAATACTGCTATGAACATTCATGGACAAGTTTTTATGGACATATTCTCAATTCTCTTGGGTAGATACCTAGAAGTGGAATGGCTGGGACCTATGGCAACTCTTTGTTTAAACTTTCAGGAGCTGCCCAACTGTTCTCCTGAGTGGCTACGCCACTTCACATTCCACCAACAATGTATGAGCACTTCAATTACTCCATATCCCCCTCATTAACACTTGTCTTTAATCTGTTATTTTTTATTACAGCCGCCCTAGCATGTGAGATGCTAACTCATTGTGGGGTTGATTTGCTGTGCTCCCCTAAAATTCATCCTCTTAAGCATTTAATCTAAAAATGTAGCAATGGAGTAATGTGGCTGGATTACAAGATAACAAAATCATGTGAAATTTCACCTACTTTTCACCAGATACTAGTATTCTTCAGCATTTGTCATGTAAGGATACTGTTTTCTTCAAGGCATATCATCACACTCCTTTTCAGCAGGTTCAAGCAAATAAAACATTTTTTTGCTCGTATGTCCTCCTCAGATGCTATTATTATCTGTTAAGTATAGTATTAAGGCTTTCTTAGCTGAAGCTTTTAAAAAAATCATTAACATGTATAAACTGCTATTCAATCTTTCTGAACATCTTGCATACAGTGAAGGGACAGGGGAGTTTCAAAATATCTTGTATATTATGGAATTTATTTTTGGTTGAAAATGCTTAATTTTTATACAGGGCTGAAATTACTTTCGAAATACAGAGTTGAAGGTCGCAAATGAAACATTATACATTTGTAGTTCCTAAATCATTTATAACCTTGGCCATATCTGTCATTTGCCCGTGAGGATTACATGGCACTTTTATTTCCTAATTTTTCAGTTTATAAGTATTCTTTAATTTGCTCTGCTAGACTCAGAAATGATGGCAATGAAATAAAAGAGAAGCATAGATAAATACATCATCTATTATGCTGTCAAACTAAGAAAACTGCTATTTAGTTCTGTATGTCCAAATACCTAATACACAACATATGGACATTTCATAATATCACTAACTGGTGCATAGCAAAACATAATTCAGACAAAATGTTTTCAGTAACATGTTTTGTAGAACAAACTTTGTACCTAGAAGTCACACCTGGGCAGATTTTAAAAATCCTTCAGTAGTTGAAAAATGACAATAATGATGTAGAGCAATTGTCCTGAGAAACTTTATTTTACCTCCATAGACTCAAGTCTATAAGAACGGTCGTCTTATTAAAGTATTATTAAAAATCTGTCCTTTTGAAGTTTGATCAGTGGAATGAAAGTGCTTAGTTTTTGTTGAGCACTTTCTTCTTTTCTCCATATGGTTGTGTTAGGCAGAAAATAGAACTGAGCGGAGTGCAAAGAGAATAAGGCCAGTAGGTCCACTAACGAGGACTCAAAGAGTTAACCAGTTAAAAATAGAAAGCTCAGAAGGCCAGGAGCAACTTGACTTGGAATGCTGAATACTCCCCATATAAAGAAAAGTACCTCAGCTTAGCCTGTATTTCCACTGTGTCAATCAGAACATACCTTGTAAGATTTGTAAGATTTACTTTAGCTTGCTCAAAGGCCCAGCTTAAGAATTCTATCTTAAAGCTAAGATAGCATTTTAATCAAATGGACCATGGCTCAGCCCACCTTGGAGGCAGGGCAGACAGTCTTGATTGATGTGCTTACAGACAGAAACTGCTATCCTGGAAAAAATCAAAGCAGAAAGAAGAAAGTTAATGTCTTATCAAAGATGAACATTCTGGGACCATTTGGCAGGTCCTCACCTGGCCCTTTGTTGCATTCCTGAAAATCCTCAATCGCCTATAAAACCCCAGACACTAACCCTTAGGTGCACACCTCTCTCTAAGG